GGGTTGCCGAGTGAGCTGTAGCTCAACAGGTCTTTTTCTCTTTCTTAGTGTCCTAGACCTTGGAGAACACTGTAACTGCTTTATCACTTGCACATAATTCCTGTTTTGGAGAGGGTTGAGAGGTCATGAGGATCAGAGAAAATTGTCCTCCATCTTGTTGGTCATGTAACCCAGAAGCCTCCTTGCATATACTGTCAGACATGTATAATAGGATAATAGACAATGAACTGAAAGGGACCTCAGAGGCCCTGTAGGCCAACACTAACCCTTATTTTATAGGTGAGTAAACTAAAACCCAAAGGCCCAGGGCCTTTAAAACCCAGAACTGCCCAGGGCTACAAAGACAGTTAAGTGGCCAAACCAGGATTTTTAACCCAGAACCTGTGACTCCCAATCCAACACCCAATACACTGGACCATTCTGCATTGTGCTGGCTAATTGTACTGAATTGCTTTTTATATTATCATTAAAAAAAAATTCTTTGTTATAAGGGATGGTCCTCTGGGGAGCGGAGTATTGATAGATACATTCACAGAAGTGAAGGTGAAAGGTGAAGTAAAAATGAATGATAAATAAATTATATTTAAAAAAGAATAGTATCAAGAGCTAAAGCAGAAAATAAACTGCAACTGGATGAGGAATTCTAGACATCAAAAAGTTTTTGTTTTGTTTTTTAAACCTATAATGGCTAAACTTGAAAAATCAAAGAAAGGATAGGATCTATGTTCAGGGTAGGGGCTCTAAGGATAGCACAAAGAAAGCAGGCTCTTCAATGGGGTGTTGGTGTTGGTAGCGGTAGTAGTAGCAGCTAATATTTACACAGTACTTACTATGTATCAGGCACCATGCTAAGCATTTTACAATTATCTCACTTGATCAAGCAGTATGCCTAAAATACTGGAGAACAAAGAAATACAATAAAAGGGTCTTTTCTGCCAAAATATATAATAGTAACTGACTGATTTTGTCATTGGTATTCAATAAGTAGTCATTAATAAACTGATAAACACCTTAAATACTGTTTAAACACTGTAAGAATCTTTTATGGGAATAATGAAAGTCTTTTTTGATAGCATATAAATGAATAAAAAGATACTAGAAAATCCCTATAGAAGATATATGGTAGTTTTTATGTAGAGCCTTTTTTCAATGATACTTTAAACTCCTTCCAGTATGTAGGTTTTTACAATAATACGAAAAAGCAGGAATTATGAATAAGTGATAGTAATCGCCTTGCTCCCATGGATAATCAAAACTATATCTTTCTTTGCAACAATGTTTGCAATTGATTCAGTGACACATACCTTTGACAGCTGAGTGAATTAAATGCAAGTTAATTTATTCATGACAGCAAGGATTTCTGCCTTTCAGCTAAGTGGGAAAGAGCACTCTCTCCTTCCTTTCCTACTGAAGTAAACAGCAAAGTTGTCAAGATCTAAAAAGCTGTCATTCTACATCAGAAGGAATGAGGTGACTCAACATGTAGTATGATAACACTAACATTCCTGCTGACTATAAACCTGTCATCATTAGCAGCTGCTCAAAGATGCTATTGTGATCTAGCGCACTTGAAACCCAGTGGAGACAGACATTTTCTCATTATAAGTTGCTGTGTAAGATTCTGAAATGGAACTTACTGTCATATTTGATATAATAGGTAATACGTTGCTTTTAGAATGTGGCAGGGCCAGATTTCACAATGCCTGTTTTGATTTTATTAGGCTGGATTTAATAAAAACTCTGATCGACTTGGCAACAAAAAAACTAGTGCAAGCTCTGCAAAAAGTACTATCTCTGTTTTCTAGCATTTGGAACAGGATCCTTATGCTTTGCCTCTGTTATGAAGGACTCTCAGTATGGAATCCACTTGAGGGGGCATTCCCTAGGGAAAGTGAAATTCTCTGGATGCTCCTACCTGCAGGTGACATTTTGCTGATAGAATCAATCCTGACACTGTAGAGCCTCTTGATTAGATCTATAATCGCTCAAAAAAGCCTAACCTAACCATCCACACAGAAAAAACAAATGGATACAGAATAACTACTTTCTAAACTGATATATCATTAAATGGAGAGTAGATAGAGCTGGTCCAGCAGTGTGTGTGTGTCTGTGTGTGTATATGTGTATGTATATGTAGGTATCTATGTGTATACATGTACATGTGTGTATGTCTGTGTGTATAATACATATATATCTTGGATAGACACTACAAAAAGACAGTGAGCCAAGTCCAGCATTAAACAGGAGGAAGAGTGAAGCAAACTGGGTAGTGCTTTTAAGGACCCCACACCTCTTCTTGAAATATAAATCTATTGTTTTATTATTAATAGTTTCTGGTGATGGTGTAAAACTTTAAATTATGGAATGCTAAATCGCTGAGAAATCAAAATGAGGTGTGTCATTAAAAAAGCAAGGAGAAACATAGATAAAATGAATGTTAATAGGCTGCAGCACAATATCAACAATTTATAACATGAATAAAGTACTGCATAAGTTATTATTAAAGAGATAAATGGCCGGGTCATGTATAAAGAGAGAGGGATGACAGCATGTGGGTCATATGGATACCCAGGTAGTATCCAGAGATCTTGATGAAGGTCCTATCAAGTTAGGTTGACCCCCTGTGAAATAAGAGGAGGGTAAAAATAAGAGTCAGACAAAATGAAAAGCATAAGAGGGTCTATGATCTACGCTGACAGGAGGGAATTCCCACATCATTGAGATCATAGATCCACTAAAAATATTTTTATCTGTATGTATTAGATTTATTCCATGTGCACTGAATTTGGGGTTACATTTGGGGACAAAAAAAAAGAAAAGATCTTCCTGGCTGTCCAGATAATTAATCACCTTCTAACAATTGATAGACTTGCTTGGATTTTCTACCACTATGGACTGATCACATGTGATAAAGGCTCTACTATTACTGATGATTTTCTTTTTAGTGGAGGAGAAAAAGATGTAATTTTAGAGGAGAAAAATCCCTTTCCCTTTTCTGTGCCATATATGAGATTCGTAAGAATAAGCTGCAGATAGACTTTCCCTAAAACTTCCCTGAAAATAAGTGGACAGAAAAATTTAAGTATTTGAAATGATGTGATGCTAATATTTGAGAAATAAAAGAGCAGAAGGAAAATTTTAATATTCCTTCATTGAATAGGATGGACATGCTACAACATCCATCAAAAAACAAAAACTTGGGGCAGCTAGGTGGCGCAGCGTATAGAGCACCAGCCCTGAAGTCAGGAGGACCTCAGCTCAAATCCGACCTCAGACCAAATACTTGACACTTACTAGCTGTGTGACCCCAGGCAAGTCACTTAACCCTAATTGCCTTAACAAAACAAAACAAAAAAACAAAACCAAAAACTTAAACTTTTTATAAATACTTTCTATCTTGTATTGTCTAGTAAAGCATCGTTATCCCATCAGTGATTTCAACAAGAAGTCACGATTTAGAAGATGGCCCTGAACATACTCACACCTGGAATTGACTAGAGTCAATTGCTGGCAATAAGTGGTATGTTCAAGATGAGGACAATGCAATGTACTCATTTTTCAAATATACATTAAGCATCAAAAGGAGATAATTAACTTATATTGGAGAAGGATTAATTTAGGTTAGCTCTAAGTAAGAAATTCTTAACATTTTTTAGCATGCTCTATCTGGACTTTTAAAGACTAGAATAGGTACTTTCTGTGCAGGATGCAATCTCACCAAGGGAAAGAGGGATGCACACATGAGATCAGAAGTTCCTTAACCTTTTTTGTGCCTTGACCCCTTTGGCAGTGTGATGAAGCCTAATGGACCCCTTCTCTGTCAGTACATCAAATAAAATGTACAGGATTTCAAAGGAACCCAGTTACACTGAAATTATTGAGCATTTTTAAAAGGTTCATATATCCCAAGTTAAGAACTCCTGGATTAGATATAGATTCTCATTTTCTTTTTAACTTGTCTTCAATGTATACAATGTGCCAAGGGTGAAGATGAAAAAAAGTGTTTGCACAGTATGAATTGGGAGGAAATATGGATTCCAGAGGAAGTAAGCCAGTAGGAGCTAATCTATTTTAGGGCAATGAAAATTTAAAAAAAACCCAAGTTTCAAAGCATTTGTTTAACATATAGTTATCTGGAGCAAAGAAATTCTCTACCACCTATATATTCTTACATCCACTAAACATTTGGCTAAGGGTTCTCAAATTCATATTTCAGGAAACTGAAAGCAACGTAAATAAAATTTCCTTTAGTAAGTTTACCTAAATGGAGACAAGAAGAAAATATCTACCATCCCAAGACATAATCACTACTCCCCTCGCCTCCCTCAATCAGCCCTCAAAAAATGTGGATCCATTGTCCTGAAAAGAGAACACTTCCAGAGAGCAAGGGCTGTGTTTTTCCATGTACTCATCCCAGTATCTTAACTACAGATATCAATATAGCTAGGTCCAGATTTGTGTAAAAAAAGAATTCCCTGAGGTAGGTGCATTATTCTAATTTGCACTGCATATTTCCAATGGGCTGAAACCAATTACCATATTTTATATAATTATAACTTTGAAAAGTATGAACTCAAATACAAATGACCACTTCGGGGGATTCATTATTTGTACTAATCAGGGACTTGTATTAAAGCATGTTCTTCACATATATGAAAAGCCTTTCTCTTTTATATCCACCAAAGCCTCCTTATGTTCACTTTAAGGATACAGTATCATAGTCTGCTTTTCAAATGAACCAATTAGATACTTGCTATTGAACAATAAAAAAAAAAACTTTCAAACTTATACTTACAGAAATATATCGCCTAAGTTCCTGCTCAAAATTTAATTGGATGTAATGAAAACTTATATAAATCTATATTCATGCACAGCACATATTACTTCTGGACAATAATTTCACTTCCTTTAGTTTTTTTAATTGCTCATTACTGGATCAATAAGACATAGCAAATTAAGCATTACTCAAAGGCAGGTTTCCCAGAGTAGAAAACACTTACTTTGCTTTCAGGGTCTCCTCCTGGAAATTCCATTGTGGGTCTTCCACAAGCTGTAGCTCCCTCAATACCCTTCCTGGCTTGTAAGCTGCATTAATTACCATGCTAAGAACCTGGTGAGAGGGGGCGAGTAGGGGAGGGAAGACAGGAGACAGGGAGAAAAACACAAAGCAAAACAATCATCATGGTGAACTTTAAGGAGGTAGTGAGGCTCATTTGTACTGAAACAATCAAGTTATCACCTTCACACCCTTGACACTTAAAGCAGTAACTGTTTCACCTAAGTTAAATGAAACATCTTGGTTAAGTTTAATGAAATCACCTTGAAAGATAACACTAAACTGGTTCACCATCAATTGAATACAGTAGGTGATGACCTCAATCCCACTGGTTAGTGAACTACTCATTACAGAGAGGGAACTTACTTTTGTTAATTCTTCTAAGATAAATGAATTAAAACCACTTCTAAAAGAAAAGAAAAATGTACTCCTCTCTCCAATGTTATGTTGTTCTGATCATTTGTTTAAGAACTAAAATACAGATGGAATAAATAAAAAGGAGACAAGTCTACTTATTTTGCCATTTCCTGTGCTGACAGAACCATTTATGCCTAACGTCTGAATAGGTGTAGCTAGGTAACAATCCTCTTGGACTTCCTTGGAATGGTCCCAATTTATGAGTATCTAATCCTTGGCAAACTTCCCCAGAAACATATCTATTTAGGAGGCTTTGGCTCTGGGTCTAATTCTCACATACCTTTGCCCCAACTTGTCACTTCAACTCAATGGCCAAGAAAATAAATCTCTGATAGTATCTTTTAAGAAAGTTATATTGATAATCCTTTGTTTTTATGCCACAGTCATCTCCTGCAGTATACCACCCCAAACTGAATGCTCCCTTGAAACAAAGACAAATACTGGAGCACAAATGAGACAAAACAGCCACATCTGAGAGAGCTGGCAATATTTCCCATTTGTCCCACATGTTACCTACCAAGGGGAGGGGAGTGTGTTTTATAATTCGTCCTCTGGGACAAGAATTGATCATTGCAATTAATCTAAGTTTCATTGCCTTTAAGTGCTGTTTTCTTCGATAATGTTGTCATCATTGTTTACATGGTTTTCTGGGTTCTGCTTATTTTACCTTATACCACATTTCATATACATTTTCCCATGTTTCTCTGAATTCTTCACATCCATCACTAAATACTATATAATAATATTCTATTACAATTTGTTCAATCGTTTCTCAATTGCTGGGTACCACTTTTTTCAGGGTGTTTTTTTTGCTTCCACAAAAAGTGCTGCTATGAATATTTTGATATATATAGGACCTTACATATGCTCATTTTTTTCGTAATGCAACTTACTGATCTGAAGACACTTTTTTTTCTCCCAAGTCTAGCCAGTACAAACCTGAATGCAGCCCAAATCAGAGTAAACCAACTTTTCAGAGAGATTTAATGTTGGGGGTGCAGTCTCTATATAGAGTTGCCTATCATCAGATCAAAACAGTACTTCTTTAAGGGCTGAGCATTCAAATGCATGCTCCCTCAGCTGAACTGAAGCCCATATTCACTTCAATGTGTTTTAACAATGAAAAGAGATAGAAAACCTGGATGCTCTGGCATAGTCACTTTTTAATAAACAGATTATCATCATCTATTTATATTTATTGAATTCATGGCATGGAGGTGTTCTAGTTAGATATACTGCCCAAGGGATTTGAAAGGACAAATAACTATGGAAAGAAATATGCAGGTAGGAGGCAAAGGGGCTGGGGATAGAGTTTCACTCCACCCCACCTCCCAAAAGGAAAGAAGGATACTAAAATATTTTTAACCCAGAGAAGAGAAGAAAAGCTAGATAGCTTCACAGATAAGCAAAGTAGTTTTTAAAGTTGGATGATTAATTTATTATATGCTTAAAAAGGAAAGCAAGGTCTGTATAAGAGATTTAGTTTCACGTACAATTTTTTGTTCTAAGTATACAGAAATGCTCATTTTATTTGATATCTAAGTCCAATTTAAAAAAAAATTCAAGAAATATGTAGAAAACAGGTGACAAAATGTTCAGAGTAGAAAATTTTGCATGACAAAATAAATTCTAAAAGTGAGAAAAATATCTTATGTAATGGATGAACTGAAACTATTATCAAAGCAATATTCATTAATGCAATGCCACATAGTTAGGGCAGACATTATAAACCAGTAAAAGATGAATGCTCAGCCCCTGAAGAAGTACCATATTGACCCAAACACAGACAACCCTCAAATACTGGCTATGCTCTCAAAATGAAGTTTTTTTGAATGCAAACAACCTGGTTTGGAATGTGATTGATTTCAGAAAACAAATTACTTTTTTTTTTTGCCTTCACAATTAAAATAAATTCTAACATCATGCATTTATACTATAAAAGCTACATGGCAGGAATACCTCTTCTTCCTCAGGTTAGTACTCTTCTGATGTTTTGAGGGTCTAAAACATCTCTCCATCAACATGTTTCAGTAGGTATGCTAAAAGGCCACAAGAATGAATTACAAACAGTTCTGGTGTGATTGTGTGTATGTGTGTTTTTATTAGAATCAGCATTTGATTTTTATTGTTGGCTGTCACTACAGTTTATGGGAACTGAGCTTTAAAATAAATCTAATTAGAGCTCGCTGAAATAATGTACAAAGTGTTTACCAACAGACAATAAAATTTCAGCTGATTCTGTTCATTCTTTTCTGCTGAGAAAACCCCAAGAGCTACATTGCAGTAAGCTGAAATGCATTTTGCTCTTGTAGGAAAAAAAATAATAAAAGACCCATCTTGCTAAATTTAATACAGGAGTAGGCAGCAATTACATTGTACAAAAACGTCAAATGCTGTACCTTAAAAATGAGGGTGTAACATATCATTCATCTCCAAATTCTCTCAGCCTTTTTGCAGAAAACTGAAACCTCTTCCCAAAGTAGCCTGAAGGACTTTTTAGCCATTCCCATGAAATAGCTAGAGAGGCTACACTAGCCTAAGAGCTTATCTGGATTTGCTATGGATATTCCCAGAGTTTCTAGCGCTTATGCTAAGGGCACCAAATGATAACAAAGGAGCAGCAACCCCAGTGGATGGTGCCCTTGGCAGCTGGAGATGAGAGGGCAAGGCTCACAAATGCAGAATCAACAGAGCTTCTCTAATCCCCAATTTGCTGGTATGTAGGTGGCAAACACAGCATTTAAAAAAAAAAAAGGAGCCTTATGCTTCTTATAATACAGAGTCCTATGGGGATCCCTGAGAATCAGTAGGGAATCTTCCTCAAACATTTATTGGATGCCTACTGCCACAGCTAAAATGTATTCCTGTTACTTATAAACAAATCAATGCAACCATTATCAATACCTAAATCATTTACTCAATAAGTATTTACTGAATTACTAAATGTATACAGTAGTACAGAAAACTCAAAGAAATATGAGACTATCTCTGCCTACAAGAAGTTTACAAACAAGTTTGGAAAATAAGACATGAGGGTTATTTTTTTTAAGTAAATATACAAGACTAATTACTCATGGTACCATATGGGGAGTATAATAATTTGATACTCTGCCTAATACAATAATATAAATGGAATTAAACTATGAAGTAGCTCAACTGTAACTTTATGTACCCTTTAGCAAAGCTACTCTCATAAATACTTGGTCTCTATGCCAAGTACATGCTGTGATTTAATTTTTAGCCTTGAAAAATAGTTTCAATCAAAAATTAATTGTTGTTTTATAGAAGTTAATGATAAGAAGGTTTTTAGTCAAAAATGTATCAAAGTAGTGTGGGAAGTTTTTACAAGGAGGCAAATTAGAAGAAAAGCTAGAGGAGAAAGATACTCAATGCCACAGCTCCAATGCAACCTGTTAAATCTCTGGAAAAAGGGATCATGACATTGATTCTGATTGTAAATATTTTAAAGTAAATTTGCTGTTCAGTCGTGTCAAATTCTTCATGACTCCATTTGGGGTTTCCTTGGCAAAGATACTGGAGTGGTTTGCCATTTCCTTCTCCAGCTCAATTTTTACAGATGAGGAAATGAGGAAAACAGATTAAGTGACTTACCCAGGATCCCACAGCCACATCTGTGGCTAGATTTGAACTCAGGAAGGTGAGTCTTCCTGGCTTCAGGCCCAACTCTGTATACCACCTAGCTGCCCCTTTCAAAGCAAAGCTAAATCATTACATTTAGTAGTCACTACCGCAAGGAGACTACAGCTGGGAAATTATCTCAGTCAGTTTTCCACTGGTTTCCTGGCCAACCACATGGACACGGCAGGCAGCAAAAGCCACAGGGTTTAAGCTGAGCAGCTAGTAGCAAGCAGCCCACAAAACTCCAGAGTGCAAATGGAACCAGATTAAAACTTAACTGGGATATGTTTAACAAGATAAAAATATAATACAACATGAATAATGTTAATTTGTGGTTTTCTAAGTCCCTATGAAGCCCACAACCATCCATTTCTATTCTCATTTGACACCACCGGTTTAGAATATAAGCTTCTTTGTAGAACAAGTAAGAGGATGCAAAAGATGGCAAGTACCATCACTTTAATCAGCCAAAAGTAGCAGGGGAGTGACAGGGGAAATATCTGTACAAAGTTTACCATCAACTCAAACTAAATCTGATCATCCTAAGAAAACTTATAGATAGAACTGGAAAGAGGGCAACAAAGAGACAAAAAAATATACAGACTGTCCATGTTTCTATAGCGATCTAGGGTCAACATTAATTACAATGGAAGCATCATATTTGGACTCTGGCACCTCAGAAGTCACAAATGACATTATTACTTAAAAAAATAAGGCAACTTTGAAGATAATTAACAAACACAAATATCTACTTTCTTAATTTTATAAAATCTTTGAGTTGTCTACATACTTTTAAGTATCCTCAAAGAAAATAAGAGAAAGAAATAGGTAAGCTTTTGCAGACACATTTTCACAGGGACACAAAAAAATGAAAAGGGCAGAGAATACAAGGTGCTTTTGTTAGATACAATGCTGAACAAGGACTTAAGAAGAACCGAGTTCAAATACTGCCTCAGAAACTTATTTACATGACTCTGGCTGAGTAATTTAATCTGTCT